ACATACACGCAATATTTAACTTGTTTGTTTGTTTTACGCTCAGCTGAGCTAGATGCTGAACATGCACAGAAGGTTTTGGATATGGAGCAGACCCAGCAGATGAAGCTAAAGGAACGTCAGAAGTTCTTTGAAGAAGCCTTCCAGCAGGACATGGAGCAATACCTTTCTACAGGATACTTGCAGATAGCAGAGAGGCGAGGCAAGTTTTAAAATACCTTCTGTGTAATCCACAAACTCACAACTGGGAGAACATTGTTGAGGGGTCAGAGTCAGCAGCAGTTTTGATGCTTGCAGATGAAGCATTGCAGTGTCTGAATTCTTCCTCGGTGGAATTGAAACTTCAGATATGCTCTTTAAACAAACTTTGGGTTCCAGGGTAACAAAGCACCTTAGAAAATCAGTCACACTCTCTGCTCGTTGTCTGAGGAAATGCAAAGCACTGAAGTACATCTGGAACAGCAGCTTTCTCTGCTGCTGAAGAGTGCACCTGTATCTATAAAGGTACGGATGGAGGCGGTCACTTCTGTCCCCTGGAGTTCCAAAGCCTGGGATCATCACCTGGCAGGAGGTGCCTCAGAAAAATATTAGAAGTGCAGACGAAAGCTCAGTGTTGTGTTTCAAAACAGTTCCCAGGTGGTAGGTATTTCCACTGTCTGTGTAACATACAGAGTATGTGATTAGGACATGGGCGATCAGATGAGTCATCTCATAATAAGGAGAGAGCTTCAAGTCTGGTGTCTCCAGACTAGTTAAAGCACAAGAATGCCACAGACTACCGACACTTCCGTGTGGGAGTTTTCCATCTGTTGGGCCAAAATGCAGAGATCGTAGGACCAGAAATAAAGCAAGTGGGAGATCACATCTCTCCTGTGGCAGGAAAAAAAATTAGAGATTCTGTCCTTGCTCCAAGACCAGTTCTGCTATCATTTGTAATGTCAGAGCAGGGAATACAATCCAAGATTTCCATTTCTCTGCTTGAGTGCTGTAAACGCTCATCTGCAAGATGTTCTGGATTGGTTGCTAGGAGAATCTTCTGAGAAGTGGGATACGTTAAGCCTAAATTCCTTTGGTCTAGGAAGGAATTGAGTTTGGGTCTCCTGCTTTCCGTATCTATATAGACCACTTAGAGTAAAAGTGGATGTTTTCACTGGCTAGTACTGGACACGTGGCTCTGTTAGAGGGTTAGGGTACCTAAATTTCTGAACTGCAGCTTGCAGCATAAAGCAGAACCCATGTATATCAAAGAACTGTTTTAATGAAAGATTTCATCCTGCAGTACATGTAAAACTGCAGAGCCATAGTATATTTGGAAAAAAAAAACAATCCAATTATAGGATTTCATCTCAGTTCACATATGAAGGCTTTTAATAGTGTAAATGTTAAATTTAGGTAAACCATTAAACTGCTTATTGTGATAGTTAATGTTACACATGCAGCAACTGGATGTAAATCTGGGTACCCCTGAGCTTACTTGTTCTGTGTTTGCATGTTTTATTGTTCAAGGAAGAAGATGCTCATCCAACTATTTAATTCCCTTGCAAATTGTCAGTATTACATGGACAATAATAATTAGTTTGCCTGAGTCATTAATAATGTGAAATCCCCACGCTGAGAGAAGATATCGGGGATGTGCTACTGTCATTTCTTAGAGTAACTGAATGAGGAGAAAGAACAGCTGCTGTTAACATTAATCTGTGTTTCTAAATTCCCGTGTCCCTTGAATAGTGACATTTAGTGATTGTGTGCTTAGATGTGTTTGTTTTTCTCTAAAAAGACTCGTTGAGAGAATTCCAAAGGAGTGTTGCAAAATGGGAAGTTTCAGTCTTTGTCCCTGAGCCCCATTCTGGCATGTTTCTGACAAGCTATTGCTAGAAATATTGTTGCTAAAAATGCTTTTGTTTTACAAAAATGTAATGGACATTTTTGTAAAATGTAGTGTCAGAATGAAGATTGCAGAGAGTACTCCTGGATTTGGGCTGAGGTTGCTGCCGAGTAGCTCCCGCGGGTGTCCTCCTTCCATACTGGTTGAATTGTTCCTAATGCATGCAGTTACAGCAGCTAGTGAGGCCTTGGCAGGTCACACTGCCACGCAGCCGACTGTCAGTTTGCTCACTGCACTGTTTTTACTGCAGAGCCGATCGGAAGTATGTCTTCCATGGAGGTGAACGTGGACATGCTGGAACAGATGGACCTAATGGACATGTCTGACCAAGAAGCACTCGATGTCTTTTTAAACTCAGGAGGCGAAGACAATAATATGCTTTCTCCCATGCTGGGTATGATACTAGTAATGACAAAAAAGTGACAGATCACCAGAATTGCTGTGATTTGTAATGGATGATGTTCTCTTATCAAGCGTTACGCTTTGTCTAGATTGAATATTTTTCATCAGTGGTTTTCGAAACATTAATATTTAGTTGCAGGACAAGGGAGCTTACTGCAAAACTCCGTGATGTTTCTGGACTGTCTCTTTCCATCTAGTTACTGCAGCTTCATGCTATGTTTGTCACGGTACGGATAGGTGATGTGTTACACACTGCTTTCAAGGTGCGTTTTTCTCGGTGTAAAGTCAATAGAGGACACTTTAACAAACATCAACAGAAAGTTTGTGGTAATTAGGTTTTTATTAGATCTGCCTTGGATCTGCTTTCTTAGAATTTTCCAGAATTTTGGCATTTTGAAGTAAATTCAGACCAGTTGCGTAGTGTAAGATCTTCAGTGAGAGATATTCAGAGACATGGTTCAACCCAGCAGTTCGTTTATATTAAACATGACAACGTTCTGGAAGCTTCTAAATAGTGATTCTGATACTGCAGCTCTTTCATGTAGCCTTCTCACATGAAAATGCAAGCTAAATGTAAATGTTGGCTGAATTGGATTAAGTTCATCTTAATCCAAATTTTTGTTTACATGTTTTGGTGAACAAAACCGGATTTACATTTTGGCAAGTTGCAGCATGATGAGGGATCTGCTTAAAGCAGGGAATTAGTAATACTGGGTACTTTATCCACCAGGGAAGTGTGTCTTCTTAATTAAAAACTTTAGTACTGAAATGCCTTTTCCCAAAAGACGCAAAAAGTGTTTTCTTGGGGGAGATGATGAAGCTCCTTTAAATATGCTTTTGATAATACAGGTTGAAATATTTTTATAAAAGTACTTACAGTGTACTTTAAATCCTATCCTGTATTTTGGGATATGTAAAGAAAAATGTTAATAATCTCCTGGGGTGATTTTCTTCCTCCCTATGTAGAGGTGATTATTACCTCCTGTGAACATCAAAAGTTTACGGTAAGTAGTCAAGGCACACTTGACTACTACAGGTTTTCGTGTTTTATTGTGAAAACTAAGTTCAGATGGCTGGTTTTGGGTAGATATCCAATTCATGCCTCACTAAAGTTGATCATTGTTTGGGCATGCAAGTAATTACAGCATCTAGGACTGTTTTCCCCTTGCTGGGTCTTTGACAGAGGTTGGACCGAGAAGCTTCGTGTCTTAACCACAAACAGCATAACTGGATTATCTAAGGAATTGTAGAAACTACTAGGTGGGGTTGTTTTTTTCCTAAATATGTGCAAAACTTGCTAGCCTTTGAAAACACTGTCATTTATTTTATCCTGTAACACAAGTATGACAGCGTGCGTGCGCAGACAGTGTGCATGTGTCCATGTGCACACGCTCTGTAGTGTGACGCACCAGTGCTGCAACGTTCTGGCACTGCAACCTTAATGCAGAGGTTGGACAGGCTTGTGGCAAGACTTACTCCACAGTTACTACTACTACAGTTTAAGAGTCTTGTGAATCTTACTGCTGTGGTTCCAGAGGGTCCCTTTCCCTCTGAGTTAGAAGGGATTTTTGTGCTTACTTTAAGGACTTTGTACCCTAGTGTCAAGCCAAGCATACAGTAGTCTCCTTTCAGAAAAAGGAGCTTATCTGTCTTAAAGACAATTCTTCATTTTGCTGTCCATGCAGAACTGGGTTGGTCAGGGCAAGATTTGTTTCACAATTTTACTGAACACCACAGAATGCAGGTAAGTTATTTTAGCAACTGCAGAAAGTGAAAATCAGCTCAACGCATTACAATGTTTTCAAATTTGTCCTGCTGTGAGCGCTGACAGCTCATGAGCATTGGTTTTTCAGACATCTCCTGATAGTCAGCAAGCTGTCGCTGAGGCGCGTTTCTTGCCCTCGCTGCGATCTTAAATTGTGGACCTGAACGTGGACAGCACGTAGCCCTGTTCTGTGACATTGTTTTAGCTTCTCCGGGACCCAGGAACAAGTTGATTTTTTTAGTCAAAAGTGGAGATTGGTATTATTGCCTAGTTATTTTCTTTGTTATTTGACCCGAGTTTATTTGTGTCGTTCTGTTGGACGGAGTTTGTCTGGAGGAGGATTTTCCTATTGGTGACGATTCTCCACATATGCTGAAGTCTCAACGGACTCAATCAGAGTGAGTTAGGAGGATTAAGAGGTTTTAACTGATGGGCAAACTGGACATCGGCTACATCTCTTTAACGGTCAGGGACTTGCTGCTCCTGCAGTTTTACCTTACTTGATCTCAAGCATTAGCAGTACTAGAACGAGGGAGAGCCGGACACATCATCAGAAACAGATTAAAACCAGCTGGTGGCTTCTATCTGAGATCTGCTTCAGAAAATCCAAAAGGCAGCTTTGTATTTTGGGAGAGTTTTTTACAGTGTTTTGCAAAAGAACAAAAAGTCTGTAACCAACGTTGCGTTCGGTTGATCTGCTGACGCCTCGAGTCACGTGCTGAGCCACAGCTTGATTGTTGCTGTTGTTCTTTTTCCAACTACAAGGGCCTGACTCCACCACCTGTGTGAATGAGTTCAGTCTCCAGGTTCCCAGCCAGTCTGAGCTGCGACAGAAACTGTCCTCGCTGTCATCAACCTGCACCGACTCCGCCAGCCAAGACGTGAGCGAAGGGGAGTCTCCCGTGGTCCAGTCCGACGAAGAGGAAGTGCAAGTGGACACGGCTCTCGCTGCTGTGGCTGAAGGAAAGGGCGCTTCGGATGCTAGCGATGAAAGTGACTCTCAGACTATGTGAATCTTAAACCCATATCCTTTAAGAATGACTTCTGAATGAATGAACCAGGGAATGAAGAGCTTGCCTGTGTAACAATGTGCTAACCAAGCAGAACAGCCAGATCTTTTTACTCAGTAATACAGCCTTTTTACAAAACTGCCAGTCATGTGGAGGTTCGTTTTTAAAAACAAATCAAAAATAAAATGCCTAAAGCACACACACTTTAACAGTAGGCTGGGGGCTCAGGGGAGCAGCAAAGCTGTTGTATATACTATGTATAAGAGAATTAAAGGCGAAGGATACAAGTTGCTTTGACCACTAACCTTTAAATGGCTGATGGGAAACACTTAGCCTTGATGTGTAATGCCGAACCCAAATTGTTCCTTGCATGTTTTCAGCTGCTGCAACTGAAGAGTTAGGATCCAAACCAAAATGAAAAGTTATTATTTTCTACTCTTTACTACCTACTGTCTGCCTACTGCCTTCGTCTACTAATGCAGCAGTGTCTACTCTCTCACAGTTCTTATTCAGGACCAACTTAGTTATCATAGCTGTTAAGGAAAAAAATAGAAAAAAAAAAAAAAACCAAAACTGAAAAGGAGGAGAGATGCGTATTGAAACCTGGAGCAGATATCTCAGCGTTGTATAAACTTACTCCTCTTTTGAGATTAAATAAAATATTTCTATCCCAACCATGTCTTTTACTTGATTACCCAAATACTTTATCCATGACAGGGAACAGAGGAGTCTAATTCAGCCATCAGGAAAAACATGGTTATTTATACTGGGCACCAGTGTAATTTACTTTTCCGTGGTAACATCTGTTTGTCTACACTGATGCAAGCCAGCAATTTAAGGGAAATAAACCTGAATGAGCTATGAATTAAGCGTACATTTTATAAACCTTAGGACCCGTAGTCATTATCGTCTTAGTGCCGTTGTTTTCTGCAGTCGTTTTTCTCTCTAAAATTGAGGTCTGAACATGTCTAACACCTGTTTCTTGTCAAGTCTCACACTCTGTTCGCAGGGCTCCGCTGTCCTTTGAGAAGACTCCTGGCTCCGTTCTTCTTGCACAGAGGGAAGGAATGTAATCAGAAGCAGCGTGAGTAGAAGGGCGAGCTGTGATGCAGATCCCTTCCAAAGACCTGCCCTGACAAGGCTAACGGTTGGGAACGCGGCATCTCCAGCTGCTTGCCAGCTGGGAAGCGGCCGGTTTCCTGAGGATTCGCCCTTCTCTCCTGTGACTTGACAAAGTGCTTCCTGCCCCTTCTCTGGGAAATGAAAGCTAGAAGCTCCCTACCTACAATTAGACATTGACTGTTTAACAAGGCGGCTGTTGAAAGGAATTGTTCTTCAAGCAGCTCACTTGACTCATCCACTTTCCAGAAGACAGACAAAATGTCCAAAAAAGTTTTGTTTTTTTATTAAACCTCGTAGTACAAACCTGGAAAGTAAACAAAAAACTGGCAATAAACAACATGAAGTCTTTCCTTACAAGGAAAGAGAGCAGAGCAGCGCTAATAAATTAAATGTCCAACTGTAAGCCATAGTCAGAAGTTTACTGTCAAGAGGGAAAGGTACACAGCAAGGCCATAAAAACCAGACAACCACATTTGAAAACACTTGACTCTGTTTATGTTATTGTTAAATATTCCAAAACAGTTCAGTCTTCTGCAACAACGACCAACAAATGGTATCATAGGACTTTCCTGACAGTCACCACTGGCAAGCTCAGTGCAATATGGGTAGCTACGGTATTGTTGAATTCAATTACGAAACAAAACAGTTTGTGAAAACATTTTCCCTTTTTTATTCCACACATACTGTACACACAACCAGAAAAGGGCAACAGCTACTCCATTATTATTTTTTGTTGTTGTTCAGTGATGTAAGCAGCACTTATAAATGTTACAAGAAAAACCCTGTAAGCATCCAATCCAACCGATGAAGAAAGTGAAACGTAAGGCTTTTCTTCATCTTGTCTCTTCGCCATCCCTCCCCCCACCCCAAGAAAAGGCTCAAGTATTTAAAAAAATTTACAGGCATATGTACAAAAGGTGTGATTTTTTTTTTTTTTGTTACAACATGAAGAGAAAAAATAGACAAGATGAAAGCAAATGCATTTTCACATTCAAAAGAAATATGCAGACCTGCTAGTGGCTCTAAATGTGATCATATAATGAAACAAATTCAAAACAAAAATTAATGCTTGACTGTGTAAAGGTGTGGAAAACAGCAGTGGAATGGAAATGGAATGTTAGAAAGATTGCACGTCCATGACAAAAGAAGCACTTATGGCTTCAATCACTTTTTTTTTTCTTTTTTCTTTTTTTTTTTTTTTTCTCCAAAGGATGCTATTGAAGGGTTTTTGATAAAGTAGCCAACAGCACCAAAAAATAACAGAATGGATTTCCTAATGAAATCAGGCACAGTTTTCCCTCACGTGACTCCTCAAGGCAGGCAGTCTTTTTTCCTCCTTTTTTTTTTTTTTATTTCTTTTTGTAATTTTTATTTTTCCCCCTCAAAACAGATGCATAGTGATGTGCTGGTAAAAGAGAACATACTCCAAATCTCCTCCTTTTGCCTACAGTTAGGAAACAAAGTCCATCTTCAGCTGCCATAACCTCCCAAAGAAAGTGTGTATTCTCCAATTTAAAAAATTACAAAACTCATCTTGCCATGACAGAATAAAAGACAGCCAAAGTAAAGCAATTTCTTTCAAGTTTTTGTCTCCTATCCCTTTTCTCTCTAGAAAAATCTGCTCACATGACTGGAGAACAAATTATAAAACACATCAAACTTTAACCTATTCAAAAAATGGGTTAAAAGCCTTTTTTCACAGTTACCAAAAAGGCTTTTTATTTTTTTCAGCCATAGGGACAATACAAATTAATATTTTATCAGCCCCTTGCCGGTTTTAAAACAGTGAACATACGGCAGTTTAAAAAAATCAGACTGCTCTATCTATCTATTCTAAGTACAAAAAAAAAAAATCCAACAGTTTAATGCTAAAACAAAATTAGTTCTCTAAAACCAGAAGAAAATCTTCTTTAGAGCTAGTGCAAAGACAGCTTGTATTCTACAGCAAGTACTCCAAACTATGGTATAATAATTACAAAAAATATATATAAATTGACAAAATGAGAGTGTTGGCATCTTCAGGATTAACTTGAAGCACTTTTGGATGAACTGGAGGATGAAAGCCTAGATGATGGCACGTCAACTGTTGCTCTTTTACGAGGTCCTCTTTTTGGTGTAGGCTTGCTGATACAGTTCTCAATGCTGCCGTTTTTACCAGATACTTTTCCACAGATCTGATTGACCAGACTGATGATTTGTTCCTGTTCAGGAAGTGGGAAAAAACAAAACACGAATCACCATTTGCTCTTTCTCCAGTCACTTCTGATGGACGAGATGTAGCGCTGCCTTTTGACTGAAAGCACCCACCTGGGGGAAAACATCTAAATACTTGCAAACGGTGGGGAAGCTGGGCTCATACACTACTTACTCACAACAAGGAGTCTGGGAAAAAGTACTGTGTGGTGGTGCAAGTATTGCCCTTGCTGAAGCTTCCCCCTTCCCAACTTAAAGACGGTGAGCAGCAGAACTCGGAACATCTGAGCAAGAATAACGCAGCTGGGCGTTATCTATCAGAAATACTCTTCGGATAGATACAATTTAAAACCCGCTGCTGAGCAAAGTTAGAAATGCCATAAAGTTAAATCCATGGTAGCATGGCTTATACTTTACTAAATATGTCTTTAAAAGAAAAAGATTCCATTTTTTCCTTGTGACCTTGTTGTCATTGGTTACGGGATGCTACTTTCATTTATTGCTTTTTGGGATCTCTGGGTGTCCAGGTGCTCTGAACCTGTGCCTAGAGAAAGCCGGCTGGCTGCCTTGCAGGAAAAGGGCCACAGGTCCATGGCACTGTGAGCAGCAAGAGACCGGCGTCTTTGAACTGCACATCAACGTGGCCTGGCTCCACCACCACTCCTCGTTCCTTTATATTCTGGGATTTGATGAATTTAGGGGGGAGGACAAAGAGACGTTTTTCTGACCTGGCTGTCCCATCCTCCTAGCAATGTTGAGAAGTTATTTTTGTGCAAAGTTGAAACAGCCTCTTAATTAAGTCTACGTAATTACACAGATTTGGCACGTGGCATTCAGCATGCAGGTTGTCTCTCTCCCCATTCACAGCCCGCAAAAAAAAATTTTGTACTAATAACCAGGTGTGTGGTTAGTAAATTTCAGAAATGTAGAAACTTTGTGACAGTTTTTTAAATTTGAAAAAATCGTCATCATCCAGTATTGAAGGAGAGGTTTTCCTGCCTTTCCCAATGCAGCCTAAAATATCTACCTAAAAAAACTAAAAATAATTATTGTATGTGATTCTGCTGGAGAGAGTGGCTTTGGAAACCTCAACAGAATTAAGAGATCTGTGAAAACACAGGATGTAAGGGACTGACTAATCTCAAAAATAAGAGAAATACATTAAAACTTTTGAATAACTTCCTGAAACTCCGTGGTGCGTATCGCATTACGAAGGCAGGTTCGCTGTTGTCGGGGCTGCCCAGGCTGTCCTTGTTTCTGCCTACAGCACCTGGTACCAGGACAGAGTCCACAGTTAAAGTGGACGGTGCCGCAAGGGCACGATCTGCCCCAGAATTACTTTGCCCTTTTGGGTTTTTCCTGCGTACATCAGAAACTGCTGAGAAGCCCGTGGAAAAAGCTGCGTGTGCCAGCACTGATCTCCGAGAGCCGGTTTTGTCACTTCTCCCACGGCTTCGCCACCCCCAGCTCGGTCTAACAGGAAGCTGCTCCCCCATCCCCTCCCGCGCGCTGCCTGGCCACGAGCGCAGCTCCCTGGGCAGGGGAGAGGCGTCACGTTGCCGCGCTGCCGGGCGGTGTTGGCCCCGAACCCCAGCACGGTCCTGAATCACCAGCTGGAGCTCTGTGATCAGTCATCAGCACCTGGCGCCGCTCAGCCCTCCCTGGAGCTCTCACCCACAGGTCTGCCTTAAAGAAGGTTCCGGCTGGACTGGAGTAAGTCCGCATGGACTTTCAGTTACCAGCAGTTACCAGCTTATCCTGAAGCACAGAAGTTGTCATCGATTCACCACTCAAAGCACAGCCCCACGTTCTACAGCATCCCAAAGCACTAAATGGCTTCCCTTCCGTAACACATATCCAAGCAGTTTACACTTCAGGTTTCATCTTTGTAATCATGTTTCCCCTCTCATTTCTTTTACTTAGCTCACAATAAAGCGCCCTCTTCCCACACCAAAACTAAGCCAAACAGCAAAGCAGAGTCTCCTGAGGTCTCGGTAGGACAAAGGCAGAGCTAAATCTCCTCCCAAGTTTCCGGTATCAAAGCTCACCAGCGCCACAAAGGAACATGGCACAGACCTCATCGTAACGGTACATCATTTTCAGTCCCCGACAAGACTTCTGTTTTTCCACATGCCGCAGGGCACACTCCAAGCAGAAGACAACATTTTCGTTCTCCTGTACCACCTGTAGAAACGCAGGGATGGGGGCGGGGGGGGAGAAGCACAGTAAGCTCCAAATTGTCGCTACGTTACACGTGCAGCATTTCCCATTGCTTAATAATTGTGAATTATTGAACGTGTCTTTTACTACAAGTTAGTGGAAGGAGGCTAAACAAGGAGCGTTACACATTGTGAAATATTCGAGGTGTGTACAAAAAGAAACTACGTATCCCTTTTTGAGTGCTAATTTGGCAAACACATACAATTTTTTTAAAAACAACCAACAGTAATGAAGGCCAAATCCAAGTTACGATATATGCAGGAAACTTCCTTGGCATCCAGTATGTAGCCTAAAGATTTTTCTGAAAGCAGCTGTTTCCCATTACTCTAAATGCTGTCTTGAACAAGGATAAAATCAGAAGCTTCGCCACAGGATTCCTCAGCTCCTGTCTCATTCAGCAGAGGTCACGTTTGCTCAGCTGGCTACCTGCCAAGCCTGCACATTCCACTTGGAATCTGACAACCAAGTCAACTTTTTGTCCCTTATTACAGTTCAGAGTTACAAGGAAAAATCCTTCCCTTGGTTACACATACTCCAGAGCAAACGGACCAGAATTTTCGTTTGGTTGTTTTTTTCAAACAAACTCATTTTAAAGTTAAACTAGCATATTTAGTTTAGGCTAGAACTCAGCATATTCCATCCTAGGGAGGGAAACAGCTACATCTCATCATTTCACAGTCACATTGTATTTCCATCAAAAACCTAACATAACCAAAAAAAAAACCCCACGGGACAGAAAAAAAAGGATTGAATATGGACTTGCAGGCACTGTATTATGTTTATTTCAATATCTGATCTTGGAATCCAGTGGTACCTAAGGTTGTGGGAGGGACTTTTGGATTTTTAGTGAAATTGCTGTATTTCTAGGTGTTCTGCATACAGCTAAAAACCTGAAAGCACCCCCACAGCGGTCAGCACACCTTCAAAATACGGTAGGCAATTCCTTCTACAAAGAGAAGAAGTTTATGGGCGTGACTTCCATCTTTGAACAGGCAGGTTGGCAAAGAGCATCTTAGCCTGACAGACAGGATACATCCCCCCCGGGCTTGCAGGGAAACTGTCACAGCACAGGCTGAGCCTCGGGGCACGTATTTTGAGTTGCTCGCTCACCCTGAGAACCATTCTGCCATGACTTACTGCTTCTGGCAACCTGCAGGTATCTCTGTTGCCCCTCCTAGTGCAGTGCAGACATGCTCGTGGGCATCCAAGAGCGGCTGAGTGACTAGTTGATCCCTTCCTTACGGGGGGAGGGAAGCCAGCTGACAGTAACCCTTGCGTTCTGTCGCCACTGCCCAAGGCAATAAATGCTGTGGCCCAAACCAACACCTCTGCATCCTGTGTGGAGTGCATGAGGTAGCTCTGTAGCCACGTGCTGTCTCTCAAATGCTTGTAGTCCATTATAGAACGTTGGAACGGGGGACAGCACCCCAGCAGTGGGAAAGCATTTTACTCACCATGGAAAGATAGCACAGGTGCTGACAGATCTGACATCTCCTCTCTGACGTTTCTAACTGCAACCACTTTCGAGGCTTTTTCTTCCCATCCATCCCTGTGCTGCTGCTGTCGTGGCTGCCATAGCGCGCTGAGGAATGGAGACCTGCCTCGAAAAGCTGCCGCCGCTGCCTCAGCTCCGTGTCCCTGTGAATGTTTTATGCAATTAGACATGGACGTCGCCTCGTACCACCACAAAGCCATGTACAATCACCCTTTTACCACCATCATGACTGAAACCTTAGCTCCACACAGCAAAGCCCTGAGTATTGCTGGAGGTTGGTGCCGTTCCCTGTGCGTGGTGAGAGACAGCCAGCACCACAGAAACGCTGCCTAATTGCAAAAGCTGTCTCCGGATTTTAACAGCGACCACTGTATCAAGCCAGTGGTTCTCAAACTGCTCCACAGAGAACTGGGGACTGCTGAGTACTTCCTGGAGGTCGATGGTTGCTTGGGGCCATGTGGAGAGCTGGGAGATGTGGCTAACATGACTCTCATTCCTGAAGTTGCCAAAAGCCACCGTGAGGAGGAGGAGCCGTTGCTGTCGGGAGTAACAGAGCCACCTTCATCAGGAGGCAGAGATGAACCAAGGACCTGCTGCCGTGAGGTGCTTCAGGCAGGAAAGGGGGAGCAGGGCAAGTGATAGTGCCAAAAGACGAAGATCTTGCTGTACACCCAAGGGAAAAAGAAGGAGATGTCAATTAAGAGTAAAGACTAAGCCCTCTAGCCGCCCTTCACCCACGGCGTCCGAAAGGTGGACAATAATTCCTATGCTGAACCATACAGCATCAGGAGAGCAGGTCGGGTGGGACTGAGTGGAAGACAGCAAGTGCGGAGCGCGCTGAGCAGATGGAAGGGGAGAATAAAAAAGCTCACCACCAGACACAGCAGAAGATGGGTGGAGAGCCAAGCTAAGCAAATGGCATGGGCAAACTGAGCAACCAAGGCAGATCAGGAGAGGAGGCAGCAAAAGACACAGAACAAACAAGCAAAACAAAACAAAGGAACAAAAATATGGTACAGTGTTCCACTTTGTTGGTTTTTTTTCAGGTTTTGTTGTTTGGGGTTTTGTTTTACATAAGCAGCCACAGGAAGGACCGATATCCTCCAGAGAATTCCAACCTAAGCGTTAAGAACAAGTTTGAGAACCACTCTGATAGAGGTCGATGTGACGGTCTAACAGCAAGCACCAACATTTCTGTTTCACCTTTCGCAGACTTTTCCTCTTCAAGGAAAAAAAAAAAAAAGAAAAATGCACTTGGAAGTGATTACTCGCACAGGGGAACCCGCTGCAGGTAAAGCAGTCAGCACACCTCTTTGTATTTCTTTTCTGAACACTAAAACAAAACATGGGCTGTTTTCCCCTTCAATATGTCACTGGAAATTTTCCAAATGCACATGCTAGTTAGTTAAATACAGTTTGTAGATTCCATTCATCAAAACTTTCTTGACATCTCGAGTACCAGTTGTCACAAACTTGAAAGATAGGTAGCAACTACATGGTAGGGAACAAAAGAGAAGATAATTACACAGGAAGCCAGGCAACATTATATTTTCCTTTTTTGCCTATCTTAAGAGAAACCCTAAACACGTTTCCATAATACTGGAGAGAAAAAGGAGCACAAAGTTTTTTTCTTTAAAATCTTCAAGTTCTAATGCGAGATGCGTTAGCACCCATGCACACGCTGCTCGCTTATTCAGCGGTTTAAATCAAGATCACTTTCTGTACACAAAGTACCTTTTACAACTGTAGTACAACGACCTTGATGCTGAAAGCGAGGGTTCCTGGTGCAGAACCCATTACAGGCATGGACTGACAGTGGCTACTGACACCGAGAGGCTGACAAACCTGAAGAAAGGTGTTTAACCGGTTGGCACCATGTAGCTCACCTAATGAATCAGGAAATCCTGACTCTCAGCACCAAGAATCGACAAAATACAACCCCAAGGCAAACGGTAGTTTTAACTCTTTGATAGTGCCCAAAGTAGGGAATTCTTAGAGTAGGACATCCTAACCATGGGCACTCTTGCATCAGATACAGCCAAGGAAACTGCTTCTTGTAGAGAAGTTGTAGATGCCCCATCCCTGGAAGTGTTCAAGGCCAGGTTGGATGAGGCTTTGGGCAACCTGGTGTAGTGGAGGGTTTCCCTGCCCATGGCAGGGGGGTTGGAACTAGATGATCTTTGAGGTCCCTTCCAACCCAAACCATTCTATGATTCTATGATTCTTCCACATGTGGCTGTTCTCAAGTATGTTTGCTGGGCTTTCGCTTGGTTAGGTAGGTGAAAGACATGCATCTGAAATGGTTACTTACGTCATCCACCTCTGCAGTCTGTCAATGAAAACAAAACAGGTGCAACAGACCCCAATTCGTTACCTGAGCTCTCCAAGAAGTGATGATATCGTACTCAGAGTCGGTCCATTTTCCTTTTTCGCTTCTGCTGTTGCAATCTGATAAAGCAACTTTTCCATTGAAAATGGTTTGGCTATACGTCGTCTCTTCATTTCCTGGGACAGAAATTGCCAAATTAGCTCTTAAGCCAAGTTGAAAGTAAAAAGTTATGAAGAACGAATTCAGTGTAGCAAAAAGCTGCCTTTTAAAACAACCAGAAGTCAGACCTTTCTATAGTCCAAATTAAACAAAGTATTTATGTTTCTAACTTAACCTCACACTGAAATAAATGCTAATTATAAATCAGTCCTTTCAGTGGAGAGCCAGGTGCCCAAGCACTTCGCTGAATTGGGCCTTCCTGTTGAAAGAACTGTGAAAGAAGATTTTCTGCAGGTGCTTTGGGTGAACCTATGCCACAGGAAAAAAACCTCGAAAACCTAACCCAAATGCATGCCACCGTCACAACCAACGGCTTTCTCGGAGAACACCCTAGTGCGCCTGTTGTACACAATGTTTTGTTTTCATTCAAAGTCACCAGCAGAGAGCAAAACAGAATCTGCAGTGCACGATGCAATAAATGCTAAGAAATCAATCTGTACGCTGTCTTTCCATAATACGCTTTACTGTGAAATTTAACGCAGACCAAAGATAAGCAAAGTCTGCATATATGAAGAGAATGAAGAAAAATGCAAATACTCCAGTGTCGCCACATTCCAGGTATACACTTTTTTCAAAAAACAAAACTAAACTTCATCAGTGGAAAAGACAAGGGACAGGAGAGATGTCAAGAAAATAAGAAAAATGAAAAGAAGGATGCCCAGGCATAGATGAGCACACAGTTCACTGAAGTGGAGGAACCAACAAACACCTCAAAATTATCTCCCTAAATTTCATTATTCCTGTGGAGGCCAAGAGGAGTAACCCAATCACTTCAGCTCAGTACGACACTATTGGCACTCTCGGCCATCCAGTAAGATCCAGTCTTCTGACCTGCTTGAAGCCCAGAACTGCTGTTATTGTGCATCTTTTAAAATGTCAAGATGACAACAACTACCAAAATGGGCAGATGTCAGGGGATGGAGACAACAGGCAGAAGAGGAAGTTTCAAGTTCCACTCAGTTTTGCCCATTACCAGTTCCTCGCTGCGTAAGCTTTTAAACATGAGTCTTTTGTTCCTGTCAATATGAACCGACTGATTTCGGTAAATACTTAAACCCTTTCGGTAACTCTTATGTAGGCAAATTCCTTCATTTACTGGGCAGCTGGAAAAAGTCCAGAGTTTCCCCAGTGTTTGCAGAGCTATGGTTTGCTTTACACAGAGTCAGAGAGTTTTCAAATGATACTAACGCTGGAGTGTAACGTGAAGGTGCCATTTTGGCTAGGAGTCAAATCCACCAAATATGTACTCAGGACAAACAAAACCAAAGATTCATCTTTAACCTTATTATTTTTTCCACCCTGTTTTGTAACCCTAATTACATGCTCTTGGTATTTCTTTTATCAGAACCAATATATCAAAATTAATCATTTTTAATAGCACCAGTTGCATGCATTGAAGTGATAACTAATATATATATATCATAAAATGGATTAGTAACCTTTGCTGACCCAAAGGTGTTCAAAAGAGGGTCGCAGGTAAGAAAAGCATTCTCCAAGAAGGTTCTGATAGAGCCTGCCTGGGGTGAGAACAGCTGCACTTTTAGGAGGGGTATGGGAAGTTGTGTTAGATTTGCCTTGCGTATTGTCCGAGGCTGCATAAGAACAGCCACCCCATGCCAGATGAAAAGCCCGCGCCGGCACCACGCGCAGCCAGGATAAAAGGCCACCGTGGGTGGCTGGAGAAAGAAGGACGGCGCGTTGCCGCTGGCTGGCAGCTCAGCGACCTGCTGAGCCCGAGACAGGTGTATCCTGCATCTGCGCGTTTATCTGCACTTCCAAATCCAGGTAGACTTTTCTCTCCCGTACAAGTATTTTAAAACAGGCTTTTGTTTGCTTTTGACCCACTGCCTAATAATTTCTTCCAATGACACATTTTTCAATGTCATGGAAGTCAGAGAACATTCATATCGTAATTACCAGCAGCCTGCCACTTGTGATCTTGTCTTACTATCGTGTACGTCTCTCGGTCACCTGCTTTCCAGGCCGAGTAGTCTTATATTTAATACAGACGCTACTTCACACCTTTAATCATCAGTCTCCACTGTGCTTTTTCTTGTTTCCCTATATTCCTTTTGCAATTAGGGACTCGGTACTCAAGCCATGGCCACAGCAAGAGCCTACAGAGTGCCATAGTAATGTTTCTGCTTTGTTCTCTAGTCTCTCCTTGCAGTTCCTAACATTCAGATCTTTTTTCCAAACCTCTCCAGAGCCCTTGGCCAGCAGCTCCACAGGAAGCCAAAGATCTCTCTTTCTCAGTAGCACGAGCTCCTTTAGAGCCCATCGCTGTGTCTGTCAAATGAAGATTATTTTTCACTCCACAGTAATTTAAGATTTACCAACACTGAACTTCATCTACCATTTCTTCTTCAGATCACTCAGTGTCATGAAATCTCTCTGCAACACCTCATAGCTTTAATTTTTGCTGTCATTAACATTAATATCCCCAGTATAAAGGATTATTTTTGCTATTCACTTCTCTTTCTAGGTTATTTATGGACACATTGAATTGTACTGGTCTTAGTACAAATTCCCAAGGAACACAGTATGAGACCTTCCTCCAAGATAAAAACTGATCATTTGTTCCCATCCTCTGCGTCTCTTTAATTCAGTTATTTTTTTGGTGTGTGAACCTTCCCTCTCAATCTGTGGCAGGTTAATCTTTAAGAGCCTTTCCTGAGGAACCTCACCAAAAGTCTTCCAGAAACGCTCGTAGCCTCTGTTAACCGGATCTCTTATGTCCATACATCTTTCCAAAAGTTTCAAGGTCTGGGGGCCACAATCTCACTGCAAAAGCCATGTTGATTTCCCCGGTCTCATTCTTTTCTGCATTGATTTTTTTCTTTTGGCCTTCGGGAAGTCGTCCTTTGAAATCTCTCTTTGGTCTGCATTTGTGTGTTTACTCATGCATCTCGCTAGATTGGTTCTTTTACTTGCATTTTCATCTTCTGGATGCAAAAGGGATTTTTTGGTCTCATTTCAAACAGACTCCTTTCTCCTGGTGTTTAGCCATGCCAAGTTTCGTAGGGGTTTGTCTTTTGAATTATTTTTTTTTTGCTAGGCAATGTGCATGTGTTGTGAGCCTCTAACACAGCATCTTTAAACAATTTCTATGCTGCATGCAAGCACTTAACCCTTCTTTCTGCATTCTCAATTTAACAAGCTTCCTTGGTTTTATGTGAGGCTGCCTTTTGAAATGAAACACCACAGTAGTGGATATTTTGCGTTCCACTGCTCTTTCAAGGTTCTTAATCTCTGCTCACCATCGCAGCACAGCTATTTGATAGTGATGTTTTGAACTGGGCTCCACCATTGCTGAGAAGCGAGGCATGGATTCTTCTCCTCGCATGGATTTCCTGACTAGCTGCTCCCTGAAGCCATTTCGGTTCTGGCATCGCACACCAACACAACCACTATCCTAGCCAGCGGGAGGAAACCAGCGTTCCCCATTGTCATCCTGTGTCCTGTCCTCGCAGCTTCTCATCTCCTTCAGTATGACACAGGCCACGTCTACGCGCCATCCAGTATGGCAAAGCAGGAGGAGTGGATGTGCAGAGCAACACAGTTGATGCTGAAGACCCAAACACCTACTCACTGGAGGGGTGTATGTAAAGCCAGTGGCTTCGTTTCAGAGCAGCCTAGCCTGGTCCTGTGGCCACACCGCCACCAGTGCCTGGAGGACATCAGGTGCACTTCTGGAGTGCCTCTTCCCACTTGGTTTCTCCTGACAGCAAGCCAGTCTGCTCAGGCTAAGACCACCCTGCGATGGGAACCACGGAGTGGTAATTGTGTAGTAGCATTTTCAAGGCAGGTTTCTCACCCACACTACGACCTGGTGGGGAGCATCGGGGGATACGTATAAAGCCCCTGTCAGCCTCTTGGTTGGACAGTCAGGAGCACAGTGCTAATACCATGCTGTTCCTATTTACAATCAGAAGATCAACACATAGAGATTCTGTCACCGGTGACAGAGTTGAACCTGGCTTACTCAACCATAAGCTCTCTTCTGGGTGCAGCAGTGCTGCTCCAACAGGATGACTAACTCCATCTTTCCTATGTACTACTTCTTGTATTACAGTAGTGGCTGAGTCTCTTCTTTCCACCAAGCTTCTGGTAGGCCCTCTACCACCAAAGCCCTCCTTTAAGCCCAAACATTCCTCCTTCTTTCCAAACCTCTAGACCAGCATGCATTCATTTAGTCCAGTACTCTGTTTTCCTGTTTCCGAAATGAGTTTTACTGACTTTGCCCAATGCCTTATTCCGGGATACGGAGTTACCCCTTTGCCATTCCAAACACAAACTCTTCCACCACACCTGTAAATATTCTCCTCATCCTTTTAGTTAAAAATTTCAAGAGCTCTTAGAGTGTTTTTTAAAAGCCAGCAACCAGGTTCCGTGTATGGTTTAGGTGAAACCTTTCTATCCCTTTACACAGGCTTTATACAAACTCCTTTATTCCAACAATTATCCCAACTCCTTATAAACTAAAATCAATGCAATTTCAGATGCAGAATTTCATTTTTCCGTATATTAAAGGAGATTGAGCAGTCATTCAATACACGAAATGAAACAACATTGTTTAGTCATAGAAAGAGAGTCACTATAAAAAAATCAGGTCACAGTATCACAGAATGAAAACAAAGTTCACGTATGAAACAGTGAAAACTGTCAACATTGCTGTCGAGAACAGACAGATGGGAACATACAGTTGTTTGTCGGAGAGTTCATTAACAGTCCAAAAGGGGAACCTTGCTCGTTACACAGAACATCTCACAATCTCTGAAAAGCACAATCCCGGCCAGCCTTGGAAAATGGCAAAGCACCTTGTCAAAGTGAAGAAACCAAGGAAGAATTTCCAGAATTTAAGGGAGTTAAGAATATAAGATAGGTTGAGGAGAGAAGAGGGGGAAGGGGAAAAAAAAAAAAAAAAAAAAAAGAGGAAAAGAGCAATGCAGTAGGTGTTTCCAGAGTTATTTTGATATAAACAGATATCTGTGGTTCTTGTAAAGTTTGTGAGAGCTGTGACTTCACTTTCCATGGTAGGTTATCACAGATTTAAGCCTGCTGGATTTTCAGTCAGCTTCTATTTACCCAGTGCAAAGCTCTTAAAAATTAATCAAAAGAAACTGTTCTTCAGAATTTGAGGCACCAAGAAGAGCTTTTTAATTGCTGCATAGTGATTTCTGTCTCTTACAGGAGTGGCATTTTCACAATATCAAACAAGTGTTCAGTAGAGCAATACATACAACACATGAAGTTAATATAACTGTGTACCTCCAGACAGAAAAGGTTAGCTCAGGATTCTCACTCCTTACCTACACACATATACAACTCCCACCTTCCCCCAAAATAAATCTGTAATAAAATAACCTTTTATTTCAAACTAAGTTAATATACAGTTAGTATAACCAGGCTGGAAGAATTCCATTAACCCTAAAGAACCAAACCCTAACTGTGGACTTACTACATTTGATTACTTACTAACCACTTGGTCTGAAGCTGTAAATGATAATTTACTACCGGCTTAGCTATAAAACACTACCAAAATAGCATCTGTAACCCATAGTGTATCTGAGGAGGCTGGGAACACAAGTAGTGACATATATTCTTTGCCCAAGAACAGAGAAGTGTGTAGCCAAAACCATGAAGACTGGGCAATTCACCTGTTTGTTTCTGCAGACAACCTGCCTCAGGAGTGTGAAAAAGGAACGGGAAGTTTGTTTTATTTACAGCGTAGTATCGGATGGGCTCCTCAGTGAACCTAAGGATTTTCAAGTCGATTAAAATTGAAATTGCCCTGATCAACAGCTTTTCCTGAATGAAGGGGCAGAGAAATACGAGCAATACAGCTGTGAGTATTAACTGACTCTGCCTATCATAGGAGCTAACAAGCACAGTTATTCAGATATTTATTTGCACCTGAGATTCTAATGGTTCTAGAAAACATCACTTAAAAAAAAAATCAGTAAGCATAAGACAAGATATTACCATTAGCTCTGAAGGGATTTTTGAAAAGCTTCCTGGCAAACTGGTCTGCAGGCATAATACTCTTCTGAATTTTTCAAATACACAGATGCTTTCAGCTATCAGTTATTACCTCTGTTGCGTTTCTGAAAACACTGGATCGCCTTATGCCTTGCAGACCTTTTTCCTTTTTTTATTTAACAGTCCACAAAAAATAGATGTAAGTTGTACTAGTCTCACAATACTATCAATCCTGGAATGTCTGGTTTCCTGTCGTTTTAGATGGCAGGGCCGTGAATCCATTTTAACTCCTTTTCTCAACTTACCTTGGCCGTTTTAAAACCCATACTTGTCCACTGGGTGGTAGCAAAGTGCACTGTTTCAGAAACACTATAGCCACAACACACTTTAGACACAAAGGATCCAGGAAAACAGACAACAAACTGTCCGCTCTGCTGTACAGTACGGTGCACCCTGATCCCCTCCTTACACAAGATTTCTGGGGAGATCTAGAAAGACATAAAAGCAAAACAAAAAAAAAGGAAAAAAAAAGACAAAAAAAAAGAAGAAAAAATCAGAACACATGCTACTTGTTGCGGAGAAAAGCTGTGCTCTACTAACAGCTCAGCTCTGTTTGCTTTCTCTCCTCCCTTCTGCACATGCTGAAGCTTAGTGTTTGGAGTGAGAATTACAGAAGTAGCTCTTTTGAAACCAACAGTTTAAACTTTCACTTGCCAAACAACCTCAAACACAAAGCCTCAAAACAATACTATCTACTACTACAGAAAGTAATGGCGGCTGTACAGTTTTCCAGTTAGATCTTTTCAGACTTGGCATTGAATCCACTTTGCTACTGCACTTCTGTTAGAGATGTGAACACGGATAGCTGAGGGAGTCGGTTTCGTTGTAGGCTCTCAAATTTATACTTAAGTACACTAAATGGAAATTGTTATCCACGAAATAAACAAGGGAATCAAAAATACTTTGAAATCCTTTGAAGTATTAGGCTTCTCATATCCATGTTGACATAAAATGTCAATCATGACAGATTAATTGATTACAAAGCACTCCCTTTGTTAGGTTAAATATATTACAGACAGTATTAAAAATGGACATTTATTGCACTGTCACAATTACTTTTATTTCAATATTTTAACACGTGAGCCTTATTAGAAAAACGCCATGTGGGTAAACACTGCAAGTAGAAAGCAGCCAGATTTTACCTCTGCGTCATTGTAGTGCAAGACAAAACCAAACTAACCCCCCACACAACTAGCCTTCTGCTCAGCCCTGGGTTCTCAAATGGGAATGCCTCTCCCAGTGTTAACCTACCATTACATTACTTTCAAGCATTTCCAGCCCTGGAGTGCCATTGGCTTGCAGCAGGGTATGTACCACATCATCAAGTTTGTTCTCCTCCGCAAAATACCTGTTGGTTTGTCAGAGGAAAAGAGAAAGCTTTACTGTGGAGTAAATAATGGTCCACAGCTATACAGAAACAGGCAATTCAGACCAGGACATTGATTAAAAGAAAGAAATTAAGCACAGGCTTTCCCTCACAGTTCTTTTTGGTAAAACACTGAGGATTCATGAAAGCTGTTTACTTAGACTCAGTCTGATGGCATTCACTAGATGCCAAAGGACACAAAATGCCCAAAGCAGAAATGGGAATACTCAGCGCTCTGTAGAATCAGGAGGAGAGAAATCAGCACTAGAATGATGTTCATTTTAATGGCACCGAAACAGCTAATTATGGGCAGAAATTTGCATCTCATGAGCACCAATATATGTTCTGTTATCTTTATGTAAAACAGTTGTATTTATTACCTCTGCATCAACCAAAGAAACTTCTTCTTTAATAAGGTTTTTTGTTTGTAACAATTAAGAAACCACAAATCACCTTTACTGTTAGTACACAAAGCAGCCTAAGACTTTCTTGCCTTGCTTACTAAACAAATCCCACAGGCCTCCTCTCCCTTGCAACAAAAGAAAGATCTGACTAAGAGCAGCCAAAGCAGCAAGAGAGATTCAAGACACTGCTGAGTATATGCCCCGAGCTGCACATATTCCTCTCCTCTAGGAGCCAAGGAAGCAGCTGTCCTCTCTGCGGTCACTGCCAGCAGTGCTCCCTACGCAGAAGTGACACGAAATAACGTACAAGTCTCAGGTCGTGGCTTTACACATCTGGAGAACTCCTGTTTTGCTGGATGCAGGGAGGGGATATGATGAGAATTCACCGCTAGTCTTGCTTGCACCCTGCCAGAAGGGTAATGGTTTGTGTCCACCCAGGAGAGAGACCTGTTCCCAAGATCTGGTAGTTGGTACGTGATGACTGCAAACTGAGCAGCACAGCTTGGCGGGAAACAGCGCAAATCCTGGGATTCCCAAACCTGCCCTGTGCTGGTGCCATACTAGGCTTTATCTGTGACATTACTTTATTTGGATTTGGATTTGTTAGGCTCAGGCAAATAAGAAGCATCTCCAGATTTATCATGACTTACCTCTGTTCACGTTAAGCAGTGAGACCTCAACCTGGAGCCCATCTACCCCCACACCACACACACACTCACAGCCCTTTTTCCAAACTTGGCAACAAGAGAAGAGAATGAATCTGGAAAGATTTTGGGGAAAGGATGCAGTTTTCTTGTCATGCATCCGATCCCTCCACCAATTTTATAAAGCGTTCTGCTGGCCTTACAGACCTTGTCAGGATATTTGCTTATAATTGCACTAATATTAACTCCGTATGTGTCACACAGAGTTATCCTGCTCGCTGAGTCTGCGGGAGGCTGCACTTCCTATGATTTGAACATCTCGTTACTGTTCACTGTACTGATGATGACTTTGATTTGTCTTTGTTGATCTTCAAGCCAAGAACCAGAAGAGATGACAGTAGCTACTCGTACACCTAATTGTAGCCAGAACAAGGGCTCTAATGAGCTGGCTGCTCAGGTGTACATGTACCTCAGGTGTACCGACTCCTTACACGTATTTTGACAATGATCAGGACCTTACTCATAAATTCTAGGGTTATAGAGAGATGAAGTGGAAGAACCTCATCTTGATCAGGATGAAGTCCCAGCAGCAATTTTAAATGCATGCTGTGTATCGAATACTTCGCAGTACCTGTGTTGCTAACAGTGACAGTTGCATGCATGCAGAGCATTACTCCAGTTGCACGAGATTTTAAATGGTGATGAAAATATTTTAAATTCAAATCCAGAAACTGGCAGAGCCCACTCTTTTCTTTCAGAGTCAGAAAATGTAGCTGGAACAGCTGAAAGATTAAAGCATGCAGTCCTTTACAAGACAGGCCCAGGAAAAAGCACGGGAAGGACGTGTGAAGAGGAGGGTCAGCACAGAAGTCATGGGACTATTCGACAGCTGGCAGGACTGAGGGGAATGGAGATGCTTTGCAACTGTGGCATATGCTGCAATTTCACTCATTTGTAATGCTTGATGTACCTACAAAAATGGGAAGTGAGCAGCCCCTACAGACTTCTGAGTGTCTTGAGCAGAATAAGATATTATTCTCTCTCTCAATGGGCACTGAGGGTCCCTCCAGAGTAAAAAGGTTACGTCACTGACCTCTGCCCTGCAAGAAAATCGAGTTCTCCCCTGTTCACTCTTCAGGAGGTAAAACCTGAGGGATGAGTGACCTGAGCAATCTCCAGGTAAATGAAGCACCACTGATTTTTGTACCACAGGGTTGTGTCCTTGGAAGAGAAGATTTCTCGATGCTGCGTGGACTTGGCAAGACAGAGAAGAGCTTTGGTGCCCAGTGGCCTGCTTTGTTATCACTGAAGCAGCCGCTGAAAGCAATGCTGCCAGGGCTACACCAGATATTACGCCAGACCTAGAGTTATTAAATTCATCTTTTCCTCAATAAAGTTGGGTACTTTATTGCAATATTAAAAGCCATAATAAGTTCATAATGAATACTAGCCTGACACTTCAGCCTGGCAGCCTTGCCGAAGAACAGCTTTTACACACAAAGGAATTTTGCTTCTTCCTTCTTACAACTTATTCCTGCTTACTATCCATGTTTCATCAAGACAATCATCGCAGGCACACCTGAAGCTACGTACTTATGTGCAGAAGTAAGCTCATCAAGAAAAAGCAAATGGCTCCTTTGGTTTTATTCCTTTTGGCTTGGAAAAACAGAAACAGTAGTCTTCCCTAAAACTTTGGCTGGCTGCATTCAAGCCTTTTCAGTCTCAAAAGACACGTTTTGACACGCACAGTAAGAAGAGTGGCCTCAGAACTTAATTAGGGGATTCTTGAATGCCTTCTGTTTGGCACTGACTGTCATTTAAGCCTAGATGAATGTCAGAGAGAAAACAGACACCTAAGGTTGAGGACAACGTAGCTTGCTCAGCAATTTGTCCTGACAGTGTATTATTATAAAAAAGTACAGATTTCTGATTCACAGAAGAGGGAGACGAGTCATGACAGAAAGTGACAAACTCCCAGGTCTGCAGCATAATCCAGTGTTTACCTTTACCACTTGGTATGATCACATACAGAACATTTCTCCAACTTAAAACATTTAGAGAGAGGAGCTCCTGTTTTAACGGTTTCCTCCAAGATTTCAAATCCTTCTTTCTGGGCCATGTGCTTTCCCAGCTTCAGCCGGGTCAGCAGCCCCTGACACCAGTGTCAGCTGAGAAATGTGAAGTTAAGGGACTGAAGTACACACTTTGCATGTGAATGAAGAGCAGTTGCCACTGCCACTGTGAGGACTCCTGGGTGCTAAGGGGGCCCTGCAGGCCTTCTCCTGTCACACCTCAAGAGCCAAAGGCTCCTGTAGCTCAGAGTTCCAAGAGTGGAACTGCTGGAACTGCTGAAAGGGAACCAGCTTCTCACCTTTGCAGGGGGACACCATTTAAATAACTTTTCTTCTCCTTCCATTGCGTTTTCTCTGACCAAGAAATACAATTACATTGCTTATCACTCATTGTTCTCACTGGTGATCCTCTTGGGTAGTAACACCAATATCACAGGAACGTGTCAGAAAGCCACGCAACACGCCAGCAGTTGCAACACGCTTCCTCTAATCCCTCCATCACCTGTTGTACTTCCACTGCAATCTAACTCATCAGCATCCGTAGTAGTGTGTATGCACTGAATTCAGGAAGGATTCACCATGTTCAAAACCATTTATAAGCTGAGTGTTAAGTGTTTTCGTATTTTTGTCTACAAAATATGTAATGTAGCTAGCCACTAAATGGTGATGTCCATCCACATCGAGACAGTAGAATGATGTGTGTAATCATATTAAAAATTACTGTCATTAGATAATGAAAAAAATTCACATGAGGGAAAACACTAAGGCCCTGGTAGACAGGAGTTCAAGATATTTTGCATAAAATATGAAAGCGGTGCCTGTTTACTCAGAGTATGGATTCAATCACTTTACGAGTGGCAATATGGAGCTAGCTTGACAAGTGTCTCTCTGTCAGCCGAAGGAAAGCCTACCTTGACTAGCTGTCATTTGGCTTCCATGTCATGAAAACTTCCCTCAGATTAAATCCTATGTCAAGCAGAAACAGTTCATTGCTAAATACCTCAGAATAGAGCGTGGGAGATAAAGTGAAGTATTTCCTCTAGGAAAGAATGTTTCTTCAGTTAAGTTTATACTATATTTTCCCATTAAGCTGTAATCACACACAATGGACCTTCTAGGGGAGAATCATTCATGCAAAAGGTACCACGAAAGCTGTTGTTAACAGCAGCTTAGAGACAGCCTCTGCCAGGAATGCAAGACGACAAAACAGGAATACCTACCAAATGCAATCAGCACCAGTGTGTAAGTAGTCAATGTATGGAAGGTGATTTTGGTCTCGAGACCAGCATGAGGTAGAAAAGACCATGCCAATATTTAGCCAAGGAATTGTCACTCCTAAAAGGAAGAGAGTGAAAATGAGTTTCAAGTAATTACAGTTTCTAATTAAAAGACAGTTTGAGAGGGCATTTCAGTTGAAAATCTTGTTCTACCCGCAACCTAACCCCTAAGTTTTAAGTCTTCTTACCACAGTGAATAATTCACAAAGAACAATTAAACAAATTCAGCATTTTCCACTAACAAAATATCTACCAGACAATTACGGTGCCCTTCAGCATATTTGTTTTCTAATAGCTGTAAAAAATTTTTATTCTTTAGAGAATTTACAAATACCCATAATTCAAGCTCAATGCCATTGATGAGAGGAAGTTGCTTCATGTTGTCAAATGTAAAACATGTACTTGTGAAACATGTATCCTGTTTCCCAACTGGTTTGTTCAGGCTCAACACCTGCACAGTTGACTGAATTTTGCTGTCACCTAACACTTCTACCATTGACTCGCAAAGGCACATTTGCGGCTGGAGCACTAGCGACAATTCATTTAGAAAACCTGTGTGCTGCTGTGCCCAGTGCTACAGCCCAGGTTAGCAAGTAAGAAGTTGCACAGCTCTGTCCTTCATTGCTCTGAGACAAAGCAAGAACACCGATGTACTGGCAACAACAACAGAAAGGGATACTGCAAGCACAACCGGTTCCTCCCAGGTATACGGTCTCAACATTTCATTAATTCTTAATCTGCTCACCTGCCTTCGTTCCCTTAAATACCACCTGCTACATACAACTGTGTGTCTTCCCAGTCACCAGTGAACAGAGGGGCCAGAAAGAGGGAGAAGACTTTGGTGACTACAGCACCACCGCATTTAGAGGACGCTTACACTTGCTGCAAACATAGAAAAGCAACTTGCTTACCAGGCACAGCACCAAGATGTCGCAGGATGGATCCTGTATTATTAGGAAGGACTGTGAGGTTCCACCCATGCCTGTTCAAGAAGCAACGCAGAGGCAGACACGTGTCAGAGCCATGTCCCCAGTGCCAAGCTGCCCTGCTGGCCTTGCACCTCCATCTCCACTCAGCCCAACGGGGCAGCTGGCACGAGTCAACAAAGCGGGTGGATTTGGTGATCTTACCTTGAAAATGGTTCAGATTTTCCCACAGGAAAGCCACTCCCATGGGTGTTGGTATCTACTTTTCCACAATGCACCGCTACGTGGCAATCTTTCTGTTCTACTATCCGCCAATATTCTTGCTGTGGTAAGAGAAAGCAGTAATGCATTTTTAATTCACTGAACAAGGTATCTCTCACTAAAATATAAACCCCAGAAATTTACAGGGCTTTCATGACCTCAGTGTAATTCAACATAAAATACTGCTTGAAAATAAGAATACAAAAAGTAACAATGAACTGGGAAGACAGAATTCAGGTCCTCTTGGCTCCTGTCCTTCAGCGCATGACAGATAAAGACTTCTTTCTCTCCTTCAGTTCATCAACACCTTTTCTTAAAATGTCTAAAAATTTTAAAAGGAAGAATCAGTACCATGTCTATCTAACCATTTATTTGTCTCCCACACCAGACAGCCTTAAAGTGCTTAAGGTAATGCCCGAACGTCAACTATACTGAATCCCCACACTCAAATTCCCTGAAATAAAAACTTTTACCATGCCTTGTGTTGGCCTCACCTCTACTTCAGCTACTGTAGGCTCCTTCGTGAAGCACATGTTCATGATGTTTCTTGCTGTTCGGTAGAAGGTTGTTAAAGAAACAGACCTACCCTGTGGAAAAAGAAAATAAAATTAAAAGTGAAAATAAAAAAAATGCGTCTCCATTCTCCCTGGCCTCATTCTTTTCCTTACATGCTCAATCCCAGATCACGATAGGGGGAAAGAAGACAATGTCTCCAGAACACATGTGGGTCTAAACCTCCTTTCTTATCTGAGGGAAAATAACTCAAAAGATACAGAAATTTAATAATAACATTAAATCACCAAATCAACCATCTAAAAGGCCAACTGAATGTTCCCAGAAGGCCAGGTACACTACTTTGTCCAGCACGAC